ACGGACATGAAAAGACGAGACTATGTCACGGAAGTTACAGGTTTCGCTGGCTCAGCTCACTGAGAATTCTAACGGATTCCGCGTTTGTGGACGAGGACAGTGTTCTGGTGTACTTTGCACAATTTCTCCAACTTTCGTATTCCTAAGGAATTCTGCATCATAACGCCATACAGGTGGCGACATCACCTGACCGACACGTATGTGAAGTGGCTTCCTAATAAGGTTTCAGATCTCGGGGAACTAACAGATCTGGTTTTTGGATGGGTCAGGTCATTCAGCACTATAATTGTCATAATTATTAATGACAGTAATTATTTCAATATTTGAATATATGCAATGTATGCTGCTCGGGTAAGTTAGGAGGCGCCCGATTTTCCCATGTGACTATGGTTAGCCTGTCATGCCACGACAGATTGACTATGGTCATATGGGGGAGTCGGGTGTTTGTTGGCCTTTTCGTTGTAGTATATATAATTTAAACAGGGAACATGTCCCACAGTATTTTAGCGCTGAATAGTGCTTCTAATATGTTTGACCGTAACACGGCTATCAGTGTCTAATAGGCCCTTGTCGGCCGGGCGATGTGCACTTGTTTAATGTGATATTATGTCTATTTTAACATGAATACACCGCTGGACACCTGGATGCTTCTTCTTCTTACTTTAACTTAGGATCAATGTACTGCTTCGTTGTTAGTTTATCGGGAGTTGTCAGACAGCGGAGAAGGGGTTAGGAAAATAACGCCTACAGCAAAAGTAGGATTGCTTAAGTGAGAGGGGGGCTTGTCAGAAATGAATGCGGACCTGAGCAGTTTGTGTACATATCAGTCACCGTACCGCTTCCCTCTCCCTTAATTGCCCGGCATCGTTACCGTTCGGCAAAGTCAGGCGGTCGCCGTTGTCCAGTGTCTTCATATTCTTTGTAAGAGAATTGGATATCCGTAAAATTTATTCTCTAGCGGTTTAACCGTGTGCTTTTATCACGTATGTATTTGATATACATGTATGTTATCTCATATATCTACGGCGCCGCATTTGCGTGCCTTAGGCGTGTCAGAAAACTATAATTGTGGGTTTGATTCCAAGAACCGCCCTGATAATGTTTCTTGATTTTTTCATCACCACACTCGTGTTCGTGGGTTTCACTCACTCACTCACTCACTCACTCACTCACTCCAATATCCCCATCCCCCCCCCCCCCCCCAACCACCGCCCACCCACACACACCCATACACACCCACCCAAACTCCCACCCACTCTCCCACCAATTGAAGACGATTAAGGGAGTGCTTGATGTATCAATGCCACACATTGAAGGTCTATTCTAAACATCTAATGTATTCTTATTCTAGGCACGCGGTTGCAAATATTTTAAAGGACGTCTCAGCAGAAAAGATTGTCGAGGTCAGTAAAAGTGACCTTGACCTATATATTGAGAAATGTCACAACTTTCACCTGACCTTGAACGACAGTCCCCTGAGAAAAAAGAGATTCGCCGCCATTTACCCAGGTAAGACGAAGAATGATAACAGTCATACGAAGGGTTGATTGATAAGTTCTGAGTCTCACAAAGAAGTAGGTTAAAGCGTTAGCTCGTCACGCCGAAGCCCTGGGTTCGATTCCCGACATGGGTACAATGTGTGAAGCCCATTTCTGATGTCTCCCGCCGTGATATTGCTGGAATATTGCTAAAAGCGGCGTAAAACCATACTCACTCACTCACTCACAAATAAGTGATTGCATAACAGTGAATATTTTTCTCGAGGACATAACATGATGTCATGGTCTTATATCGACAAAATGTGAGTCGTTTGAACGAATTGTTTCGAATTGTTTTCCTACGGTTAATGGACAAACTGGTGCGAACTGTGATGAAGTGTTTGCAGAAAAAAAATTAATACCAACAGCCATCCATAAAGACACGAGTACAACACTAGGGAAGGATGTCCCTTCCTATGCCTCTCTAAAGATGTTGGCAACAGAGTTCCTCAAGGTCAGGGAGAGCCTTGAACAAGATCCCTGTCCTGGAGGGCCTGTGTCGGTCACATCAGAAAAGATACAGAGACTCCACGATGTGGCGATGACCAATCGAGCGTTCAGTAGACATTTCCTAGGAGAGAGAGTAAATCAGCTCGTTGACAAAGCTTCTGACAAACGATCAGATACGCAGCAGGCATCATTAACTCGTGATAATATAACTTTGTTTGAAGCTGATCTGTAAAGGTTCTTGCAGCGATTTTGGGATTGTGGATGAAACCAAGGTTCGCCACTTCCAGTCTAAACAACGGTGAAAACAGTGGAGGAAGCATTTGACATCACCACCACCAAAGAAGGTAGAGACAGTCCCATCATCTTGAAAGGTCATAGTGAATGAATGAGTATAGTTGTACACCTCTCTTAACAATATTCCAGTAATATCACGACAGGGGACACCAGAAATGGCTACATACATTGCATGAAAGGTGATAGCCTCCGTGATCTGGGATGCTGGGGGTGTGATCATGCTGGTGGACTATCTTCCGAAAGGCCAGACATGCATATTACTCTGCACTGATGAGGCAATCACGGGATGAAAATTAAGCCTAAGAGACGTTGGACACCGAGACAAGGTATGCTATTCCACCAGGATAACACGCCAGTTTACACATCAGTCTTTGCCAAGGCTACAACCCGAGAGTGTGGCTTGCATGTCCTTCAACACCCACCGTATTCTTCTGACCTGGATCCATCAGAATTCTCATCTGTTCCAAAACATGAAGAATGCTCTTGTCGGAACTCATTTCGACTCGAACGCTGACGTCATAGTATCTGTGCAGAATGTTTTGGAGTGAGTGAGTTGGGTTTAACGCCGCTTTTAACAGTATTCCAGTTATATCATGGCGTGTCAGCTTTATGTGGGAGGATAGCCCGAAGTGATGCAGGTCTCAGACGTTTACCACTTCGGTGAAACCAATGAGCATGGGTATGGTGCTGACAAACCTAGAAACATAATCGGGGCGAACCGGGATTCGAACCCACAATCAAAGGTTTCTGGCGTGCCGAAGGGACGCAACTCTGCACAGCGAATCGCGGCGTCTTAGACGACTGGGCCACCCATGCCCTCAGAATGTTTTTGACAGCCAAGTTCAGTACTAGGATAACATCCCCCCAAAACCGTTGGCAAAGGCGTATCTACGTGGACTGGAATCATGTTGCCAAATAAAACAAAAATATGAGGACAAATCTCTCTAATTGAGGCTCAGAACGTATCCACATATTTACAATATTTGAGTGTAATTAGTTAAGCACATCGTAATAGCGTACTCAGACAGACAAATCTTCTTGTGTTATTCACTACCAAAACGGTATCGGGCAAGTGTCATTTCAGTGGAAGAGAACACTGAAGATTCAATACATTAATGATAAATAATAGCAGGTCATATTTGACATTCGTCAAGGCATCGTCATTTCTTCACAGGTTTGTGTACACGACTTTCATCATGACATTATCATACTATAGTCAGTATTGACGGCCACCGTTTTGATGAAGACTTCAGACATCGTCTTAAGCAATATAGGTTAAATGAGTTAGAGTAAACGAGATTTCATTGTAGCATACTTTTGAATTTCAGGATGATTTTATTTATTAACACAGTGTTAACTGAAGTTTCTGACGATGTCCATCCCCATACACAATGTCTTACGCCAGAGCCTGTGCAGACAATGAACTAACGTACGAAGAATTTGAATGAGCCATTAAATGCAAATCCGGCTTCATATTACGTTATTATTTTGTCAAAGTAATTAATGTATTTCCGAGTTTCACACTGAACGATGAGATGTTGTAGGCATATTGTGCAGCATGTCTGATACGACAAAGGTAATCAAATTGGTTTGGCATTTGACAGTCAATTTCTAAATTCTTCATATGTTCACGTCTCCCTTCGCTAGGAACCAAGTGGTGCGGCGTTGGCAACATCTCCAGTCACTCCGCCGAGCTCGGGGTTCACAACTACACCGACGCCTGCTGCCGTCAGCACGACTACTGCCCAGACTACATACTTCCGTTCACGTCGAAATATGGCCTGTATAACTTCGCCCTGTACACCAGGTACAGTCATCGTGTAAGGAGTGTGTGGCCGAAGTTCTGTTAGCAGGGCGTGGCAGCTGGATGGTGCACAAGTCCTGGTTTCTTTAGTTTTATCACGGCGGGTCAGTTTGATGTGGCAGGAAAACCTGAAGTGATGCAGGTCTTAGACGTTTTGGACTTTAATGAAATCCATGAGTACGGGTATGGTGCTGATTAACCAAGAAACCGGAGGCGAACCGGGATTCAAACCCACGTTCATACACCATACAGGTCTCGGCACGCCTAAGAGAGGCAAATTGCGTTGCCTCAGACGACTGAATACTCTTGAACCCTTTACAAATAAATGTGTGACGCAAAGACTCCCAAACTGAGGTTTTGGAAATCTTTTTTTTAAACAAAATTAAGAGGGTTAACTAACTGAAAACTATACTATAGTGACATGCGCATGATATAGTCGGAATCCTACAATCCACTCTGCTTTTGGCAATTTTGTTTTCTCGTTTCTATTTCCTTAGCGGTGTGAACTATTTATAAGTCTGAGCGGAAACAGCTGCCGTTTCAGAGATACATACGTAGGACATACAACATCTGCTGCTGACATATCTCATCCCAATATAGTACTGGGTTTTGGCACGTGTGTCATTTGTGAATTAAGCTAAAGCAATTAAAGCTGGAAACCCCGAAAGTTCTGAAGAGTGAAAGCTATCGGATTCTGGACGGGGCGGTCGGGTAACTGAGTGGTTAAAGCGTTCGCTCGTCACGCCGAAGACCCGGGTTCGATTCCCGACATGGGTACAATGTGTGAAGCCCATTTCTGGTGTCCCCCGCCGTGATATTGCTGGAATATTGCTAAAAGCGGCGTTAAACCATACTCACCATCTCATTCGTATTCAAGACTTTGTAGTTTGGTTTAGCCCCGCTCTGAACATTTATCAATATGAATTACGGTGTGTGTGGAAACACAGATGTTAGTCATTGTAAGAGCTAAATGGTGTGTGTGTGTGTGTGTGTATGTGTGTGTGTGTGTGTGTGTTTTTAAAACGTCACACCTCATATTCCCAATGCCTGCAAACATGCTTTGCAACGCCAAAGGATCTAATTTATATGCGCAAACAGAATTTACGTATGAACAGAACAAAACTGATTCAAGAAATATGAACTCTTAAAAGCAATTATGAGAGTAATTTCGATATCGCTGGTAAAGGTACTTACCGTGTGTTTGTCGCTTGAAGGTTTGACTGTGACTGTGACGAGGAGCTGTACCAGTGTCTCAAGGCGTCTCGGGACGATGCAGCTGAAAATGTAGGCAAGATATTCTTTAATCTGCTGAGCATCAAGTGCATGACGTATGGACATCCCCAAAAGTGTATTCAAAGGTAGGGGAACTGATATCCATTTAGGAAATTATTGAAATAATACACGTTTCTCACACAACACCAGACAGCGACGTTTGCCTTCGTGTAACGTTCTTGGAACTGATACTTCTTTTGCTCTTAGCAAAATTCCAGCTGTATGACGGCGGTTTGTAAATAATCATGTCTGGACCATACAATCCAGTAATTGACATCATGAGCATCGATCCACGCAATTACAGATACGATTACATGCATCAACCAAGTCAGCGATCATGACCACCCGATCCCGTTAGTCGCCACTTACGACAAGCATACTGATAGTCACATTTTACTGCAAGCATGGGTTGCTGAAGACCTATTCTGTCCCGGATCTTCACGGGTCTGGAACTGATACTCTTCAGTTGTGTATGACTGTGAATACAGCATTACCAACGTGTCTGACATGATCTGAAATAACAATATCCGCCTCTGGTCCTTGGACAAGAGGGACTGATACCTGTTCATGTAATGATTAAAGCAATACGCATGTCTATCACATACTGGCTTACCTTCTTTGACAAGAGGAACTGATACCTGTTCATGTAATGATTAAAGCAATACGCATGTCTATCACATACTGGCTTACCTTCTTTGACAAGAGGGACTGATGCCTGTTCATGTAATGATTAAAGCAATACGCATGTCTATCACATACTGGCTTACCTCCTTGACAAGAGGAACTGATACGTATATCTATGACAGCTAGCAGACGACTCGAGCGAATCGAGTTACTTCCCTTCACCCAATGCATTCGGATAAACATCGGTTCATTTCAACTCAACTGTACGCACGTAGCGGGGTACATGAGCGGGAAAATAATTGCGACTCCTTAACCAATCGGAAGCTAGTAGTCTAATGTAAGGTGAGATAATGTCCGTTTATTCGTACAAATTAGTCACGTATATATTGTACATGTTTAGATAATATTGTTTAATGTTTAAATTATCTAGCATCTTTAAAACAGAGCTCCCCAGATTCTTTGATCTATGGAGAAAGTTGAAACGTCTTCAAATATGAATACTGAGTACAGAATAGGTAAGAATTGAATTATACAGTATGGACAGGACTCTGTACCAGGAACCCTCAAAACAATGGTATTAAGATTCAACATTATCTCAAATGATAACAACCCAAACAAATATAATTAGAACTCAATCTAAATCCAAACAGATATCGTACTAAATAAAGAAGTCTATTTCACTGGCTTGAACTTGGTAATATAGGATACAACAAATGAAAACAGTTGACTGTATACTTAGTCAGTAATGAAATACTATGTAAATGGTGTCTGAGCAACCCCTGTGAAATAAACATGTTTTCCGACTCGTGTGAAACAAACAACTTTCATTTTGACACTTCTTGGTTAGAAAGAAAATAATAATATAAAGAAAACACCTTACTTTTTGAAATTATGTGTGCATACACATCCTTTGAAGTAAATAATTATATAATAAGGACATACAAAATATGAAATACCTGTAATGAAACGCAAAACGTAGCAGCCCATCAGTCTTTAAATGTGATATTTATTCATAACATTTAAAAATTGGAACTAAGAATTAAATTTTGCAAGCCTCTTACATTACAAAACTATACTTTTAACAGATCACAAGGTTTCCAAAACTGTCTATGTGCATACGTCCATCACGTTGTTTCTAAATATTCAAGACAGTTTCAATTCACTCAAAGGATAAAGTAACCATGATCGAGTTTTAAGTTCTAAATCCGTCGGTTCCAAATGAAATTTATGGGCATTGAGTACTTAATAAAACTCGCAAATCTGAGAACACATAATGTTTTAGTTATCTCTTTATTGTTTACTACTGCATCCTGTAGAGTATTCACCTCCGTTGTTGTTGATTCAGCTCTTGTGTTCCAGGTGGTGGTTCATCTGTTTGAAGTACGGCGAAGACACTTCAAGGCTCGTCCGAAAGTTCGCCAACAGTCCCCACTTTTGATGCTGTCCCCTGGTCGGCGTTCAAAAATGTTTTTCTATGTTATTTTGTAAAATAAAACGTTGAACAAATATAAAACAGTATTGCGACAATGTGTTCATTCTGGACTGACGTAATGTCTGATATTTGAATAAGTGTCACCCAAAACAAACGGGAAGGCGTAGCTCACTTATGTACCTCACATATAGTGAGTGAGTGAGTGAGTGAGTGAGTGAGTGAGTGAGTGAGTGAGTATGGTTTTACGCTGCTTTTAGCCATGTTCCAGAAATATCGGGGCAGTTGACACCAGAAATGGGCTTCACACTTTGTGCCCATATGGGAATCGAACCCGGGTCTTTAGCGTGACGATCACTATCTTGAATCGTGGAATTACAGCATCATGATATGTATGCGTACGTTTGAGCGTCAAACACACGGCGATGCAATCCAAGTTAGAATAACGAGGTTTCGGTGTGCCATCTTCGTGTGTTTCATTTAACAGCTAGGTAACACGAGATCCTGGTGATCATGGGAACTCTCTGTGTTACTTGGAAAACAAAGGTATGATACTTACCTACGTGGGTATGAGGTGAGGTGAGGTGAGGTGAGGCGAGGTGAGGTGAGGTGAGGTGAGATGAGGTGAGGCGAAGTGAGGTGAGGTGAGGTGAGATGAGGTGAGGTGAGGCGAAGTGAGGTGAGATGAGGTGAGGTGAGTTGAGTTGAGGTGAGTTGAGTTGAGTTGAGGTGAGGTGAGGTGAGGTGAAGTGAGATGAGGTGAGGCGAAGTGAGGTGAGGTGAGGTGAGATGAGGTGAGGTGAGGTGAGGTGAGGTGAGGTGAGGTGAGGTGAGGTGAGGTGAGGTGAGGTGAGTCAGTATAATTAGACACGGTACTCCGAACCAACCCGGCCTTATGTAGGGGATACTTACGTTTTCTAAAATTGTTAAACATATGAGTTTCTAGTATTTGGGCCCAAACTTATAACTTGCAAATCTATACTATAAACTTGACTATAAATTGGTTGAACATACGTGCATGCATGTCGCTACATGAATGAAATAATCTTCAATGCGAAGTTTTCATTTGAAGCTCTAAATAGTTTTCAGATACAGTGACTAAACAATTCGTGTCTTTCCAATTTGTTGATTGCGCCCTTACGTAGGATACGTGTCATGTTTGTCTCACGTTTAACTGATATGGACATCACCGTGCTTGACAAATCACCACACCTCCATTCCGTGACTCATGCTCTCAAGTTGCAAGTCTTATGCAAGTCGCTATGAAACAAATTTGTTACCAGTCTAGATCTGCCTGCTGTGATTAGAACTCAACTACTCAGGGATGTAACTAGTCTAGATCTACAGGCTGTAATTAGGGCCCATCTACGCCGGGGTGTTACTTGTATAGTTCTACATGCTGAAATAGAGCCCAACTACCCCGGGGTGTTACTAGTCTAGATCTACAGTCTGTTATTAGAGCCTAATTACTCCGTGGTGGTACCAGTCTAGATCTACACGCTGTAATTAGAGCCCAACTACTCAGGGATGTTACTAGTCTAGATCTACAGGCTGTAATTAGGGCCCATCTACTCCGGGATGTTACTAGTATAGTTCTACATGCTGAAATAGAGCCCAAATATTCCGGGGGTGTTATTAGTATAGTTCTACATGTTGTAATTAGAGCCCAACTACTCCGGGGTAGTTACTTGTATCGTTCTACATGCTGAAATAGAGCCCAACTATTCCGGGGGTGTTACTAATATAGTTCTACATGTTGTAATTAGAGCCCAACTACTCCGGGGTGTTACTTATATAGTTCTACATGCTGAAATAGAGCCCAACTATTCCGGGGGTGTTACTTGTATAGTTCTACATGTTGTAATTAGCGCCCAACTACTCCGGGATGTTACTAGTATAGTTCTACATATTGAAATAGAGCCCAACTACTCAGGGGATGTTACCAGTCTAGATCTACATGCTGTAATTAGAGCCCAACTACTCCGGGTTGTTACCAGTCTTGATCTACATGCTGACTTAGAGCCCAACTATTCCGGATGTGTTACTAGTATAGTTCTACATGTTGTAATTAGAGCCCAACTACTCTGGGATGTTACTAGTATAGTTCTACATATTGAAATAGAGCCCAACTACTCCGGGGATGTTACCAGTCTAGATCTACTTGCTGTAATTAGAGCCCAAGTACCCCAGGGTTGTTACCTGTCTACATCTACAGGTTGTAATTAGAGCCCAACTATCCCGGGGTGTTACCAGTCTAGATCTACTTGTAATTAGAGCCCAACTATCCCGGGGGTGTTACCTGTCTAGATCTACATGTTGTAATTAGAGCCCAACTACTCCGGGGTGTTACTAGTATAGTTCTACATGTTGTAATTAGAGCCCAACTACTCCGGGGTGTTACAAGTATAGTTCTACATGTTGTAATTAGAGCCCAACTACTCCGGGGTGTTACAAGTATAGTTCTACATGTTGTAATTAGAGCCCAACTACTCCGGGGTGTTACAAGTATAGTTCTACATGTTGTAATTAGCGCCTAACTACTCCGGGGTGTTACTAGTATAGTTCTACATGTTGTAATTAGCGCCTAACTACTCCGGGGTGTTACAAGTATAGTTCTACATGTTGTAATTAGAGCCTAACTACTCCGGGGTGTTACTAGTATAGTTCTACATGTTGTAATTAGAGCCTAACTACTCCGGGGTGTTACTAGTATAGTTCTACATGTTGTAATTAGAGCCTAACTACTCCGGGGTGTTACTAGTATAGTTCTACATGTTGTAATTAGCGCCTAACTACTCCGGGGTGTTACAAGTATAGTTCTACATGTTGTAATTAGAGCCTAACTACTCCGGGGTGTTACTAGTATAGTTCTACATGTTGTAATTAGAGCCTAACTACTCCGGGGTGTTACTAGTATAGTTCTACATGTTGTAATTAGAGCCTAACTACTCCGGGGTGTTACTAGAATAGTTCTACATGTTGTAATTAGAGCCCAACTACTCCGGGGTGTTACTAGTATAGTTCTACATGTTGTAATTAGAGCCTAACTACTCCGGGGTGTTACTAGAATAGTTCTACATGTTGTAATTAGAGCCCAACTACTCCGGGGTGTTACTAGTATAGTTCTACATGTTGTAATTAGAGCCCAACTACTCCGGGGTGTTACTAGTATAGTTCTACATGTTGTAATTAGAGCCCAACTACTCCGGGGTGTTACTAGTATAGATCTTCAAGCTGTAATTAGAGCCCAACTACTCCGGGGTGTGTGACCAGTTTAGATCTACTTGCTGTAATTTCGGCCCAACTTCTCGGGTGGTGTTACCTGTCTAGATCTACATGCTGTAATTAGAGCCAAACTACTCCGTTGGTGTTACCAGTGTAGATGTACACGCTGTTATTAGAGCCCAACTACCACGGGGTGCTACCAGTCTCGATCTACATGCTGTAATTAGAGCAAAACTACTCCGTTGGTGTTACCAGTGTAGATGTACACGCTGTTATTAGAGCCCAACTACCACGGGGTGCTACCAGTTTCGATCTACATGCTGTAATTAGAGCAAAACAACGCCGTTGGTGTTACTAGTAAAGTTCTACATACTTTAATTAGAGCCCGACTACCCCGGGGTGTTACCAGTCTAGATCGACATGCTGTAATTAGAGCCCAACTATTCCGGGGATGTTACCAGTCTTGATCTATATTGAAATTAGAGCCCAACTACTCAATGGGTGTTACTAGTATAGTTCTACCTGCTGTAATTAGAGATCAACTACTCCGGGGATGTTACCAGTCTTGATCTACATGCTGTAAATAGGGCCCAAGTACTCAGCGGGTGTTACCACTCTAGATCTACTTGCTGTAATTAGATCCCAACTGTCCCGGGTTGTTACCAGTCATGATCTTCATGCTGTATTTAGAGCCCAACTACTCAATGGGTGTTACTAGTATAGTTCTACATGCTGTAATTAGAGCCCAACTACTCCGGGTGTTACCAGTCTAGATCTACATGCTGAATTAGAGCCCAACTATTCCGGGGGTGTTACCTGTCTAGATCTACTTGCTGTAATTACGGCCCAACTACTTCGGGGGGTTACCATTCTAGATGCACATGCTGTAATTAGAGCCCAACTACTCAGGGATGTTACTAGTCTAGATCTACAGGCTGTAATTAGGGCCCATCTACTCTGGGATGTTACTAGTATAGTTCTACATGCTGAAATAGAGCCCAAATATTCCGGGGGTGTCATTAGTATAGTTCTACATGTTGTAATTAGAGCCCAACTACTCCGGGGTAGTTACTTGTATAGTTCTACATGCTGAAATAGAGCCCAACTATTCCGGGGGTGTTACTAATATAGCTCTACATGTTGTAATTAGAGCCCAACTACTCCGGGGTGTTACTTATATAGTTCTACATGCTGAAATAGAGCCCAACTATTCCGGGGGTGTTACTTGTATAGTTCTATATGTTGTAATTAGCGCCCAACTACTCCGGGATGTTACTAGTATAGTTCTACATATTGAAATAGAGCCCAACTACTCAGGGGATGTTACCAGTCTAGATCTACATGCTGTAATTAGAGCCCAACTACTCCGGGTTGTTACCAGTCTTGATCTACATGCTGTAATTAGAGCAAAACTACTCCGTTGGTGTTACCAGTGTAGATGTACACGCTGTTATTAGAGCCCAACTACCACGGGGTGCTACCAGTTTCGATCTACATGCTGTAATTAGAGCAAAATTACGCCGTTGGTGTTACTAGTAAAGTTCTACATACTTTAATTAGAGCCCGACTACCCCGGGGTGTTACCAGTCTAGATCGACATGCTGTAATTAGAGCCCAACTATTCCGGGGATGTTACCAGTCTTGATCTATATTGAAATTGGAGCCCAACTACTCAATGGGTGTTACTAGTATAGTTCTACCTGCTGTAATTAGAGATCAACTACTCCGGGGATGTTACCAGTCTTGATCTACATGCTGTAAATAGAGCCCAAGTACTCAGCGGGTGTTACCACTCTAGATCTACTTGCTATAATTAGATCCCAACTGTCCCGGGTTGTTACCAGTCATGATCTTCATGCTGTAT